GAGAGTGGAAGGGAGGGAGAGAGACACAAGAGAAACATCCATGTGAGAGAGACACATCTATTGGTTGGGCCAGGGGAGCCACCTGCAACCCAGGTTTGTGCCCTTGACTTCAATTAAACCCTCAACCCTTCAGTTCTTGGGCAAATGCTCTATCCATTAAGTCAAACCGGCTAGTGCTAGCTGTTGTCATTTTAACAAACAGATGTCTTTAGGAAAACTAGGAATGGCAGGAAAGGCACACAGTTGGGTTAAGATAAATCTATGTTTGAATGTGAATTTGGTCACTCCTTAGTTGTTTAATGTTGACAAATCTGTGTAACTTCTGCTTCAGCAAAATAGGTAAAAAAAAAAAAAAAGCACCACTTGGCTCAAAAGACAGTGGGGAGGATGTAAGGAGAATGTAAAGTGCCCAATGCCTAAGTAGCTAATAAATTAGTTACATTACCTGAGAGAAATATTGAGTTGAAAACTCTAGAAAATCCTTATTACATGAAAGAAACCATTAACACTTCTTGAAAGTCTCCTTTATAAATACCAGACACTTTGTTGGGTACTTTTTCATACTCTCTTAATTAAATCTTAAAATAGCGTTTACGTATTTTCCCCATTTCCCTGTTTTAAGAGTTTTAATAACTAAGCAGGTTACAGAAGTGATAAGTCTATATTCGAATTCAGGTCGTCCTGACTCCAAACCCTGGGTAGGCTCTGGTTACTGTGTGCTTTATGTGGATGGCTACTTTTAAAAACACGTGCTGTTTCAACTGGAAAGAAGTTTATTATGTTTGTAAAACTGTCCAATTGAGGACAGTTTTACAAACATAATAAATTCTTAAGTGAACACTGATTTATAGATCTTAAATCAAGCCTACCATCATAGTTATTAAGGTCTGTTATCTAAAAAAAACCACAAATAATAATTTCAAGAATAATTGTCCTTATACAAAAACCATTATTACAAAACCTAAGTCATCAAAGGTAAGCCATAGTATGGGCCACCCATGCACACACACTATAATACAATCTTCAGCTCTGACCAATGATCTGGGCTATTGCTGAAACCATTCCAAAAGAACTTGGTGGCACTTAATTCATACAGGGATTGAATGCCTGTTGTATAAATAGCACTATTTACAGTAAACCCTTGAAAAAGTCCAAGACAAACCTACCCTATAATAAATATGACATTTCATTTATATTCTAGATTGAGGTCTTAAGTGGTATATAATTTGTATGTAATCTAAAAATAAGTTATAAGTACTATATAAGTTATAGCTCCTCCAAAACTTATTTCCAATCAGATAACCAATTTTATGAATCATTAACAAAAACTTTTAGCAGAAAATTTAAGGTTTAATTCAGTATTTCACAAGCCAAGGATATAGGAATACTTCTTATAACTCAATTAATCATACGTGTATTCCAAAAATTAAACTCCGATATTGTTTACAAAGCATACCAGTCATGGGTGCTAATTTACAAAGCACATAATTTACAACTGTGGTTTTAAACCTCTTTTTGAAAAACACCTTTAGGAGTTTGGTAAAAGCCTTTCTCAAAAAATGCAAACATGCCTATGCATATAAAATGTTACATGCCCATTAAAGTTCAAATATAATTCCCCTCAATTTATAGGGAACCCACAGGCCTCAAATAAAGACCCCTTATTTAGGAAATCATTTACATTTTTAAGAGATCTTTATCCTAGCTTTTCAATAGCATGATCCCTTGAGTAATTTACATTTGTCATTTTACAAAAACTTATTTACCCACAACTTGACATTAACAGGACACTTCTTCCAAACCCTTCAAATTCTTGCAATTCTAAAAACAAACTCTGGTGTCTTTTGTCCACTAATATTAAGAGTGCTCACAAGATGTGTGGCCCTGAACTAGGGGGTGGCAAAGAAGAGAATTCCAAGATTTTGTCAAGGCCAGTGACCTTGAAAAGTTTACAATGTATTTGCACAGTCTGTTCTATTTAAAAAAACACACACAAATTCTTTCAACAATTTACTGACCATTTTTAACAAAAACAGGTGTAGTTTTTAAGATGAAACCATTAGCCCTAGCTGACAGTGGTCAGCAAACTCATTAGTCAAGAGAGCCAAATATCAACAGTAGAACGATTGAAATTTCTTTTGAGAGCCAAATTTTTTAAGCTTAAACTTCTTTTAATGCCACTTCTTCAAAATGGACTCGCCCAGGCTGTGGTATTTTGTGGAAGAGACACACTCAAGAAGCCAAAGAGATGCATGTGGCTCTTGAGCTGCAGTTTGCCTACCGCGGCCCTGGCAAATTTGGCAGCGCATAGAGCATCCGTCTGCGGGCAGAAGAGTCTGGGTTCGATTCTGGTCAAGGGCATGTACCTCGGTTTGCAGGCTCTGGTCAGGGCGCATGCAGGAGACAACCAATCGATGTTTCGCCCTATCTTTCCCTCTCTCTAAAAATCAATGGAAAACTATCCTGGGGTAAGGAAAAGCAATTCTGTAGAAAAGGGGACCAGAAAATAGATTCACAGAAATTAAAGGAAAAACACAACCAAACAACTAAATTTTTAAGTAAAATATACCAAAGGATGAGTCTGATTTTAGCAAATACATCTATCGATAGCTTGAAAAACTATAGCCAATTTCACAAGTTAAGTCAACTTGAAAACTGGAAATACAAAAACATGGAATTAGATGTAATTACTAAACTCAACAGAATTAATGTTCTGTGACACATTCTATAAAAATTTTACCTACAAAAAAAAATTACTGCAAAATATTAAGATAGCAAAGAATTTAAGCACCTCGGTAACAAAAAACATGGCTGGTATGTTCTTCACCCCCATTATCACCCCCATGGCAGACATCACTAATGAATCACACTACACTTTCCCCCGATTGAGTCACAGAAACTTCCAGTAGAAATCAGGAGAGCATTAAAACTGAACCTGTTTATTTCACTGACAGTTATTTTAAAAATACTATTCAAGCCAACTAAATGAAGCACCAAAAGTTTATGTATTTAATGTTCAATGAATTTATACTAAATTTTACTTATTTTGAGGTGTTTTCCAACACACAAAAGCTTTCTTAAAAGTTTAAAAATTTCTTTGTTAAACAGAATAAAATATTATAGTTAATATAACTTTACTTAATTAGTAAAAAATACATCTTAAGAAACATACACAACCTCCCCCATGAAAGGGTTCTAGAAAACTGTAATTAACTAAACTTTTGGCAGCCTTCATTTTTTACCCAATTTGAATTAAAAAAGACAAAATAACTTTTTCTGAGTATCAATAAAATAAAACCAGACATGCCTATAAGACTATAATATATGTATATATGTATAACTCAAGTAAGAAAAAGAAGCACTAACTTTGTTCTTGCAATGTCAATGAAATACAGGTATTATTCTTATTAAATACAAAAAAAGAATATATGTGGCAATTTAAGATTTCTGTCCCTTACAAAAAACAATCCTAAGTAGAACAGACTCCAGAAAGGAGATGATACCAAAGGAAATAAAAACCCTGCAACTCTAGGATCATTACAGGTGGGATTAGCATAAAATATACTAATTGAAAGGAGTGAAAGCCTGGATTCAGGAAGTTGTATGAGAACACTGTGGTGTGGGATAAGTGAGGAAGAGTTATTTCCTAAATCCTCAAGTCTAGCAAAGAAAAACCATATTCTAAAAAACCAGAAGGCTCCAACTTCCTGGCCTCAATAGCAGTATTCAACTTCTATATAAATATAGACAAGGTTAACAGATGACAACACAATGTCAGAAATATAAAAACCATAAAAAGGGGCATTTACCTACCCAAGTCCAACCTCAATTGGTACTGACCCTAAAAATAAATGGCTCTGAGAAAAGTGTCTATTAGAGGAAACTGAGTATATGTGAAAATACTTTTTCAGTGAAGTTCTTACAGAAGCTGTATGTAAGCATAACCTCAAATTATATATACTTTATGGATTGTAGAGCTTCCTATGTATATCCATTCCAATCTTTCCCCCATATTGCACTATACTGCACTACTTTTTGATCCCCAAGTACAGAAGTATACTAAACATCCCTGCCTAGGGCATTTTTTCCTTTCTAAAACAGGAGTGAAACACGAACTATCTGTAAAGACTTGAAATATTCTTTTTAAAAAATATATATTTTATTGATTTTTTTACAGAGAGGAAGGGAGAAGGATAGAGAGTTAGAAACATCGATGAGAGAGAAACATTGATCAGCTGCCTCCTGCACACCCCCTACTGGGGATGTGCCCGCAACCAAGGTACATGCCCTTGACTGGAATCAAACCTGGGACCCTTCAGTCCCAAGGCCTACGCTCTATCCACTGAGCCAAACCAGTTTCAGCAAGACTTGAAATATTCTTAAAGTGTGTCTAAAACCCTTAAGAATACATTTACAACCAAATGTCACTTGGTACTTTTTCGTTTGCACAGGCCACTTATTTGGAGGACCATGAATTTACAACTTGCCTAAGCTGCCAAACTACATATGGAGGAAAAAGCAAAACTAACTTTACTCCATAAAACAAACTATTTTGAGTAAATGAGCATGACACTAAGAAATGACACCAGGATTAGTTCATGCCGAGTAGTTATTGCTAGAAAGAGATTCAGAGAGCAGAGAGAAGTAAATTCTCCCTCAGCTTACATTTACAGGGTGGGGGTGGGGGAGAGTGCCTTTTTTTCAAAGTGGCTTTCATCTTAGTGGCAGCACATCACCAGAGCACTTACCATACAGAACCTATCTGATACATGGGGGAGGACATCTAAGACTTACCAAAGGTTCTTCAGAGGGCCAGTGGAGGAAAGCCAGTTTTTCCTACCACTGAAAGGAATGAAGGGGGGAGGCGAGTCACAATAGCCCATCGTCTTCCTTTTCCCTTGTCCAGGGAAACAAGTGTCCCAGAGGTGCACAGTTTAAGACCGAGGCTCCAGCCTGGGGTAAGGAGGAACGAAAAGCTATGAACTGAAACCCAAACTCACCTCCTGGATGCGCTTCCTGGCCCGCTGCAGCACTTCTTCGTAGCCCTTCTGCCGCAGCTCGCTGAGGCTTTCGTAATACTCCTCGGGGTCGTCGGTCTCGGTAAACAGCACCTGGGAGAGGATCTTCCAACCGCAGGTGTCCAGGCCGTGGCCCAGGTAGACCTGGAGCTGGTAGCACAGCGTGTCGATCTCCTGCTCGGTCATCTCCGGGGCGCCCCCGAACAGCACGGTCCACATGCCCGAGGGCTCCTCGGGGAAGACGGGCAGGCAGGGCTCCAGCTGCGAGTTCACGGAGCACAGCTGCTGGTGCACGGCGCGCAGGTCCTGGAAGGAGAAGAGCCCGGCCCAGCTGCACTCCTCGGCCGCGGGCTCCAGCTCGGCGGCGGCGGCGGGCTGCTGATCCGGGTCGGAGCGCGCCGGGGACGCCGGGGCCGCTTCGTCCTCCCTCACCATCTCCAGCACCTCGATCTCCTCGGAGACCGCCCCGCAGGCGCTCACGACCCGCACCGAGGACACGGGGGGGACCTCCTCCTTGGGCGCCGGCGGGGATGCGGCAGAGGCGGCCCCCGCCGCATCTCTGCCTTCGGATGCCTTCCGGGCCGGGGCGGACTTGGCCCGCGCCGGGCTCCGGAGAGGGCTCTCGGCGGCCCCTTTGCCGGCTGGTCCCCGCAGCAGCGGATCCCCCCGGAGGTGGCGCGCGCTCCGCGGAGAGCCGCTCTCCGCCGAGGCCGGGCTCCTCCGGGGCCCCGGACTCCTCCTCCTCCCCGGAGCCGCAGAAGCCGTGGCCTCCGGCCGCCCCTTGCCCGCTGGGCTGGAGCCCGGCCCGCGAGTCCCGTCGGACGCGGCGGCGCAGGACTCGGCGCCCCCTCGCGTCCCCGCCTGCTCCCGGGAGCCGCTCCTCTGCCTCTGGGCCGTCCGGTTGTGGCAGGTGATGGCAAACTTGCCCTCGATCTCGTTCCAGGCCACGATGAAGACGAACTTGTGCTTCTCGCGCTCGTCGAACACATGGGGCCGCACGGCCACCCAGTCCGACTCGAGCGTCTCCTCCAGCGCGAACGACATGGTGGCTCCGGCGCCAGGCCGCGGGGGAGGCGACGCCGGCTGGTCCTGGCCGCCCGCCCGCCCGCCGGCCGAGAACTCACCGGCTGGCTGCGCCGCCGCGCCCCCCGCTCACCCTCGCCGGGCGCCTTCAGCCATCTTAAGCGTCCCGGCCGCCGGCTCTCCTCGCTCGGTCGCCCGTCCTCCCCGCGCTCGGACCCGCCGCGCTCCTTTGTGGACCGGCCCGCCGGGAGACACAGACAATGCGCCCGTCCCTGGAGCAGGTAGTTCACATGGTCACGTGCAGCCGGATCTGTTTACAAGCCCCGCGCCGCCGCGGCAGCGCCCCGCGCCCGCCCACCGCGCGCGAGGCCGCGGGGCGGCTTCTGCGGCGCCCCAGCGGGAAGACGCGGGTCCCGCGGGGCCGGGAAGGCCGGTGGACGGCGGGGGCCGGCGGTGTGTGCGTCTCCAGGCCGATCTCCCCGCCTCGTCCTCTTCCCGACCGCGCGGAACTGTCTGATGGACGGACGCGTCTCCCTAAACTCTGAGCCTCGGTATCGCCACAATGTTAGCATTCGGCTGCTGACGTCGGCGGCTCCACGAGGGACGTAAACACCGGCACGTGCCGCACGCTGGTGACGCGGCGGCGGCGGCGGCGGCGGCGGCGCGCACACTCCCAGCCCGCGCGTGCGCGCGCCCGCCCCGCCCCCTCGGCGTCGCCCCGCCCCTCCCGACTCTTTCCTTCCTCTGCTCTGCCTCCGCCTCCCTCCTGCAGGCGGGAGCCGGAGACTCGCAGGCTGTGGGGTCGGAGGGGGTTGGAGTGACAGGTGTGCCTCGCGGGCCCAGTGGCCTCCGAACCCCGGGGGGGAAAAGGAGCGCGGGCTGAGGAACTGGGACTTTCCGAACTCCAGTCATGCAAAAGGGGGCCTTCAAATGTAAGTTTGCCTCCATTCCCCTGGGGGGAGTCGGGATGAAGTCCTATACTCTGTACTCCGTTAACATGACTCGGACCTTGTGATGAGCTTTTTTGGGTTCCCCCAAACTGTTGGATGTACCCTAACACCCTCGAGACACAGTTTCATCAGTGTTTTGTTGCTTCAGGTTTCATCATTGTGTAGTGGTTCTTTGAGCCTCATTTTGAGATAATTGGTTTGAGCCCTTTTGAAGTTGTACTCAATGAGGAGTCCCCAGAATGCACATGCAAAATAAATAAATAAATAAATAAATAAATAAATAAATAAATAAATAAATAAAATAAAAATCATGTAAATTTGAAGAATCCTGCTGTTCCTACTGAACTGTGATAAAACATTCTTAAAATATCCTAGAGGATCCTGTAATCCAGTTTACGTTATTGGCATTTTTTTTTTCTTCCTCGAGTCCAATTCATATTGCAGGTATTCTGCCTCAACAGTAAAGTGCAATGAGGATTCGTTCTTTTACTTTTATACATATTTCAAAAACATATGCAGAATACCGTAACTTTAATTAACCGTGCATTGTCAGATATACTTAGTTTTACTTCAGTGTTGTCCTGACATCTGGCTGAACAGCAAAAGTTTTAGCCCCTTCACTGAGCAGGACATTTTAGACCAATGAATCTGCTTTGACAATAAAAGGGGGGGGGGGGGGGGGCTTGGGCAGGATGAGCAAACAGGGAACCTAACTGGTTTTTAAGCCTTTTTGTAGTTCTTTATGTGGAACCACACATTTTCAAAGCTTGTAAAAGAACTGTGTCAACTCTCAGATGCAAATCAGAGATACACCTTTCAAAAGGTAGGAAGAAAGGAAACCCATCACAAATACGTATCACGATCTAAGCAAACAATAGCACATTATAAATTTTTTTTTAATCTTTTCTACTAAAAGTTACTCCTAAAAGTTTTTCTGATAAAAAGTTGACATGATCCCTAGGTCTTTTCATGTAATACATTATGGAGAAGTCTGAATAAGGATTAAAAAAAAAAATCAAAGAATATGTTTATAGGAAACATTTTTTACATGTATTTCAGTATTTATCCACAGATATAAAATTATGTCTTATTACCGTAGTGCTAGAGAAACTTGACTGGTGGTCACACAGGTGTTAAATATTTTCCCCTAATACTCTGGAGCCACTGTGTTTTGTCAAAAGGATTGTTTCAATGGTTCTTGTTTCCTCTAAGTAATTGTTACACTAGGAATGAAAAGAAACAAACAAAAATTCCCATGGAAGGCTACTGTAGTACTCTACAATTCTTTGTTTAGGTCTGTATCTGATTGTCAAGCAAGATCTCTGAGTGTATAAATTACTCCCTGGCAACAAGTAAAGCTACAGAAAAAGCACATACACCATACTAGCTTTGAAAGGGGTTGAAAATGTTTATGTCTTCGAATTTTTTTAAACTGCTGTGAATTGTTAGGCAATCTGGGAAATGCTTTAACTCTTTAGGTCTTTTAATAAAAACTATACTAGTCTATGTAGTGATTTTCAAATTACATAGCATTTTCTTGCACGTATTTATTTTATATTTATAATCATAATGTAGGTATGATTGTAGGTATGATCTTTAAATGTAGGTATGATCTTTAAATTTTATATATGAAAAATAGTTTAGATTGTTAGGTCAAACATCCCGGGATTGGGAGCAGGGGACAACTTGAGTTCAGGGGCCTAATGGACATCTGTTCTAATTAGATTCTATCAGAAGGAGACACTGCAAAGTCAGGAACGTCCAAATGTATTGGAGGGTGGTGGATGGTGTAACACCTGTGAGAGGAAAAGGACTGACGTAGAATTGGAGCTCCAGACTAAAGATTAGGTGTGTGATTTTTAAATTTTATTTTTCAATTACACTTTACATTCAATATTATTTTGTATTAGTTTCAGGTGTGCCGCATTTAGACAGTCAAAAACTTTACAAAGTATTCCTCCCAATATTTACTATACCCACCTGGCACTGTACATAGTTATTACAATATTATTGACTATATTTCCTATACTGTACTTGACATCCTTGGTACTATTTTTGTAACTGTCAATTTGTACTTTTTAATACACACACACACACACACACACACACACACATATATATATATATATATATATATATATTATGGATTTTTTTACAGAGAGGAGGGGAGAGGGATAACTGAAACATCGATAAAAGGGATACATCAATCAGCTGCCTCCTGCACACCTCCTACTGGGGATGTGCCTGCAACCAAGGTACATGCCCTTGACCGGAATCCAACCTGGGATCCTTCAGTCCGCAGGCTGATGCTCTATCCACTGAGCCAAACTGGTGAGGGCTCAATTTGTACTTCCTTCACCATTTTCACCCAATCCCTCAACCTGCTTCCCCTCTGGCAACCATCAGTCTCTTCTCTGTATCTATGAGCCTGCTTCTATTTTATTTGTTTGTTGTTTATTTTATTCTTTAGATGCCACTTCTAAGTGAAATCATATGGTATGTATTTGTCTTTCTCCAATTGACATTTTACTTAACATAACAACCTCTAGGTCCATCCATGCTGTCACAAATGGTAAGATTTCATTCTTTCTTATAACTGAGTAATAGTCCATTGTACATATGTAGCACTACTTTTTTATCTGCTCCTTTATTGATGGGCACTTGGGTTATTTTCCTATTTAGGCTATTGTAAATAATACTGAAACGAATACAGGATTGTGTCTGTTCTTTCAAATTAATGCTTTGGATATCGCTGGGTGATAAGGCAGTTCCATTTTTAATTTTTTGAGGAACCTCCATACTGTTTTCTTTTTTATTGTTGAATTTATCGGTGTAACGTTTGTTAATAAAATGATATAGGTTTCAGGTGTACAATTCTATAATACATATTATATTGTGTGTTCACCACATTAATCCATACTGTGTTCTATAGTGGCTGCAGCACTGCTTTCCCACCAATAGTACACAAGGGTTCTCTTTTCTCCACATCCTCACCAACACTTGTTTTTTGATGACTTATTGATGATAGCCATTCTGCCAGGTGTGAGGTGATATTTATTGTGGTTTTAATTTTCATTTCTCTGATGCAAATATTGTTTCTTTTTTAATATTTTTTTTTTATTGATTTCAGAGAGGAAGAGAGAGGAAGAGAAAAATATCCATGTGAGAGTGGAACATCAATTCGCTGACTCCTTCCCCCTATTGGGGGATGAGTCTACAGTCCAGGCATGTGCATGCATTGGATGGTGCCTAACCAGATGAGCCACACTGGCCAGGGCAGGTGTGGCCAGGACCTGAGGCAGAGCCCTTTTCTACTCTGAGTCCTACTCAAAGTTGGCAGCTTCTGTATATGGGTTGGGCATTTTCCTAGGTGTGGAATGTGTTGTCTCCAAAACCAAAGAGCCTTAACAATCATTGTGCTTCCTTCATTGTATTAGTGGATGTGTGATGCAGCAATCTGTCCTTTACTTTGAAGGGTGCCATGACCTGCATGGCTGGGTTCAGGATCTGAAGGAGGGGCTGACACACAAATGAAAACTCTAGACAAGAAATATTAATTATTAAGGGGTGGGGGCCAGGGGGTTTCTCTTTCATGAAAAGCACACTGACCTCTAGCTGGTCTGCTTTTTATTTACTTGAATACACATTTTCCCTTTAGCAATGCATACAGGCATAACAAAGGTAAAGTTTGGTAAACAGTAAAAGGATTATCAGGTTAGGGAATTGCCTTGAGCCACCACTATCTCAACAGATGAGGTACTTAGTGTCAGCCCTGCTAACACCTAAGGTCCATCTACCTTCCGCATTCCTTGGTACACTCCCTTGATAGCAGCAGCTTCCTGCAAAAGAGAATGTCCTGATTTGCACCTGACCATGGTCTGTGCAGAAACTTTACTGAATTGGCAAGCACTTCAATTTTTATAATTTATCTCCCTCAATTTGGAGTACATGTATCTTACCAAAGTCTCCAGCATGCTAATAGCCTCTTACTCATGCTGCCAGATCAGCATGATGTCACCAATGTAATGAATCAATATGATGTTTTGCAGTGTGTCCAGATGGTCCAGATGTCTTCAGACTAAATTATGACAGATGGTGGCAGAGTTAACATGGCCCCGGAGCAAACTGTTTCTGATCTTTCCTGATTGGGATAGAAAAGTACACATGCACCAAATAAATGTTGTATACTATGTACCAGAGACCATATTGTCTGTCCTAACAACAACAACAACAACAAACTACTGGCTGGGCAGCTGTGATTAAGAATACTTATTCATTGAGCTAGCAATAGTCTCTAGGATCCATCTAGTCCTTTAAGAACCAGACCAGCAAATTAGACAGATATTCCAGGGACTTCCTTGCCTGGCATTAATCTCTGCCATTTCTCACTAGGGTTATACTTGTTTTTGACACACTATATAGGTGGGAGGGGTGCTGTTTCACAAGCTTCCACTTCTTCTTTCCCTCTATGATAGCTCTCACCAACAGGCCTAAGGTGTGGGTTACTGCCACATATGTCCATCTCAATTGTATTATATATTTAGGGATCAGAGAAATGAGTAAATGAGTTCACAGACCCAGGGGACTCTGACTTTGGCCAAGACTCCATTTATTACCTGGCTCCTGTATGCCCTCACTCTAGCACAGAGCCCGTGATTAAATTTCTGGTTATTAGGTATCAG